GGGGCGGGCCAAATAGGCCCGCGATTGAACGGGCTGGCCAAGCAAAGCCCAAAACCGTCCATTTAGGCGAGCGGGCGAGCCAGCCCACGGGCCATGACCCGTTTTGACAGTGCTAGTCGTATTATTGCGAGGAATGTGATTTCGATCTTTACCCAAAGTGTGGGGCTGTGGAGGAGAAGAATGGTGGTGGTGAAGGGTGGGTTTGTGAAGGGGATAAGAGTGTTAAGGGAGTGAATTAGGTGTGTGTTTGGTATTTTGGAAATAGGTTGATCGAGAAAGTTATATATAGGGTTTGGTGAGATTAAGAAAATTAAAATGTGAAGATATATTGTGGTGTGTGTGTTTGATGTTGGTGTAAGTAATGGAAACAATATAGAATATTTACTTTTTAATTATTTATCGTTTTATCTAATTGTATTTTCAAGGGAATAAATGATACCTCAGAAAATGATTGAAGAACTATTTACTTTTTAATTCTTCTTTTATTACTACTTATTTATCGTTTTAGACAAAAGTATTTAATTCTACACAATCCTTCCTTATGGAAAGTAAATAAATTAATAATAACAAAATTAAAGCATGATTAGAAAAAATTATATTTAGGGAGTGATTGTTTACAAAATAATTTACTCACTTTTATTTCAACTCAAAATCTAACCCAACTTTAATCCAACCCCACTATCTTTAATATTAGTCATGTAATTAAATAATACAAATCAATCATGCTTACACATCACATCAACTTTAATTCACTATTCATTCACTCACATAATTTTAACTACCATTTCCAATCATTTATCTCTTATTTTTACATCAAATCAATTTTAATTATTTTATTTAAATATTATTTTAATACATTTTTAAAATTTCACTACAACTAACCATACCTCCTTTTTTAAAATTAACTATAGTTAACTAAAATAATTCAATTTGAACAAATTATTTCATAAACAATCAAGCCCTTAGAAGTTAGAACCAATATATAAGTATAAAATTTATAATATTTAAAATTATTAGTTTTCTTTTTTTTTTTTTTTG